CCTCCTCTCTGTCCTCCTCTCTGTCCTCCTCTCTGTCCTCCTCTCTGCCTCCTCTCTGTCCTCCTCTCTGTCCTCCTCTCTGTCCTCCTCTCTGCCTCCTCTCTGTCCTCCTCTCTGTCCTCCTCTGTCCTCCTCTCTGTCCTCCTCTGTCCTCCTCTCTGCCTCCTCTCTGTCCTCCTCTGTCCTCCTCTCTGTCCTCCTCTCTGCCTCCTCTGTCCTCCTCTCTGCCTCCTCTCTGTCCTCCTCTGTCCTCCTCTCTGTCCTCCTCTGTCCTCCTCTCTGTCCTCCTCTCTGCCTCCCACAGCAGTGTGAAGATAAATGGGGTCACCTGTGTGCTCTGGCAGACTTCGCCATCGCCCTGAACGAGAGCATCCAGGAGATCAACAAGCACTCCTTCAACAACTTCGAGCTGCGGATCGGTAAGAACCGGACCYACTCWCTTATTAATGTTGGTGTAAAAGTTGCTCTGTTTCAGCTCAGAGAGATGTGGATCGGTAAGAACCGGACCGACTCACTTATTAATGTTGGTGTAAAAGTTACTCTGTTTCAGCTCAGAGAGATGTGGATCAGTAAAAACCGGACCAACTCACTTATTAATGTGGGTAAAAAAGTTCATCTTTTTCAGCTCAGAGAGATGTGGATCGGTAAGTACCGGACCGACTCTCATATTAGTGTCTGTGAAAAAATTAATCTGTTTCAACTCGGAGAGATGTGGATCGGTAAGAACCGGACCGACTCTCTTATTAATGTTGGTATAAAAGTTCATCTGTTTGAGCTCAGAGAGATGTGGATTGGTAAGAACCGGACCAACTCTCATATTAATGTCAGTGAAAAAAGTTAATCTGTTTCAGCTTAGAAAGCTGTGGATTGGTAAGAACCGGACCGACTCACTTATTAATGTTGTATAAAAGTTCATCTGTTTGAGCTCAGAGAGCTGAAACAACTTTCTATTCTTCATCAGCAACACGTTGATCTCCAGACTGTTTGGTAGGAATCAGTCTCAGCTACTACCTCACCAGATTTTAGCTTTTTATCTTTAAAGTGATCAGTTTTAGCCACACGCGGCAGCCATCTTGAATCTTTAAAATTGCCCAATGGTTGGTGAGATYTTTGGCTAACAGACACGGTTATCAAACSTTTGATTTCTTCACCTGTGTTTTCTCAGGTATGGCTCACGGCTCYGTGGTAGCGGGTGTGATTGGCGCCAAGAAGCCTCAGTACGACATCTGGGGGAAGACGGTGAACCTGGCCAGCCGCATGGACAGCACTGGCGTGAGCGGGAAGATCCAGGTCCCGGAGGAGACCTACCTGATCCTGAAGGAGCGCGGCTTCGCCTTCGAGTACCGCGGCGAGATCTACGTGAAGGGCATCAGCGAGCAGGAGGGCAAGATCCGAACGCACTTCCTGCTGGGCCGCGTGCAGCCCAACCCGCTCATCCTGCAGCCGCGCAAAATCACGGGCCAGTACTCGCTGGCCGCCGTGGTGCTGGGCCTGGTCCAGTCCCTCAACCGGCAGAAACAGAAGCAGATCCTGAACGAGAACAACAACCCGGGCATCATGAAGGGCCACCACCACTACAACCGCAGGACGTTGTTAGCGCCCGGCGGCTCCGAGGTGGGCGGGGGCCACCACCCCGAGGCCGCGGATAAGATGGAGCTGTCCTGAGGAGCACACCGGAGCTTCAGGTCCACTTCTGAGAGGCAGAACTGCTCCCAGCCAGAACTGTTTGGTTGAGTCTCAGTGGCTTTAAACCGGTTTTTGTTTTGATGGTGTTGATGAGATCTGAAGAAGTCTGGTCCAGGTGGGTCTACAGAGGGTAGGGACGGGTCAGGAGACCCGTGAGAACTGAAACCTCACTGGGGTGACACTGTTGGAGACTTGTTGGTGTCCAGTCCTGATCCCTGTGGACCCTCGAGGGTCACCATCCTTCATGTTTGAGGTCATTTAATCTTTGAATCCAGCGAGCAGGGAAACAACTAAAACCCTCCAGAACCCACGTAGGGGTCTCTGCAGAACATGGTGTCCTGTGGGCGGGGACAACCCAAATCGTGATTGGCGGAGGTCTTAATGTGGGCGGAGACAACCCAAATCGTGATTGGAGGAGGTCTTAATGTGGGCGGGGACAACCCAAAACGTGATTGGAAGAGGTCTTAATGTGGGCGGAGACAACCCAAATTGTGATTGGAAGAGGTCTTAATGTGGACGGAGACAACCCAAATTGTGATTGGCGGAGGTTTTAATGTGGGCGGAGACAACCCAAATCGTGATTGGCGGAGGTCTTAATGTGGGCGGAGACAACCCAAATTGTGATTGGTGGAGGTCTTAATGTGGGCGGAGACAACCCAAATTGTGATTGGCGGAGGTTTTAATGTGGGCGGAGACAACCCAAATCGTGATTGGTGGAGGTCTTAATGTGGGCGGAGACAACCCAAATCGTGATTGGTGGAGGTCTTAATGTGGGCGGAGACAACCCAAATCGTGATTGGAGGAGGTCTTAATGTGGGTGGAGACAACCCAAATCGTGATTGGTGGAGGTCTTAATGTGGGCGGAGACAACCCAAATTGTGATTGGCGGAGGTCTTGATGTGGGCGGAGACGGCCCGAGAGACGTGATTGGTCAGATTGATGGTGGGTTTGAGGAGGTTGGAGGCAGCGGGGAGTAGCTTGATCGAGTCGGACAGGACGTAACGTTTTTTAAGATTAATTTTAGTCATAACTTGAGAAAAGAAAGTGCTAGCTGCACGAAATTTGAACGTCGTACATGTGAAGGAATGTAACAATAAAAAAACGTATTTATGTAAAAAATATTGATTTTTAGCTATCTTTCTACAGGCTGTTAAGGGATGTTTTAACCAAGCCATATTGTTACGCATCCTAGCTAGCACTTTCCTTCCTCAAGTTATGACTAAAATTAATCTTAAGAAACATGTTACTTCCTGCCCGACTCGACCAAGCTCCTCCCCGCTGCCTCCAGCCTCCTCAAACCCACTGTCAATCTGACCAATCTCGGCTGTCTCCGCCCACAGGACATGTTCTGCAGAGATCCCCGTCTCCCAGGACCACAGCTGGACACCACCGAGTAGGTTAAATCCAAACTACAAGAAAGTTGTTAACTTTTCAGCTGCAGACTCGCAGAACTCAGAGTTTTTGTGAGCTGCAAGTCATTTGGAGCAACTGTTTTTTGAAAATCACCCACCTCGGCAGCTACAACAAACCAGAAACAAACAAAAAGATCAGTTATTCATTGGGTGTTTAGAAGGATTCATGGAGGTTTTTCAGGTTTTAAACATTTCTTTTAACTCCAACCACAAAGAAAGAAAAGTAAAACTCCAGCCTGCTGACGTCATCAGGAGGTTCCTTCAGGAAACACAATGTAAACACTTTGATCAGCTGAGTCCAACAAAGAAAACATGAATGTTGTGTTTTTACTCTGCCTCCTGAGCAGTTTTGTTTCTGAGTCTTTGTGGAACTGAAGCTCCACTTTAAAGGAGGAGGAGGAGGAGGAGGAGGAGGAGGAAGGTGACTGTTTTCATCTGTCCACTGGAGGGATGATCCCAGACTTTCTGACAAGCGTTCCTCCTGTCGTTTCCCCGTTTTTATGTCGCCTGACCCCGCCCCCCCTGCAAACCCTTTCCCCGCTCCGCCCCTTACCTAGTGTCAATGTTTCTTTTTTGTATTTCTTTTATATATGAGAACACAATAAAAAGCGGTCTAATTTTTATAGTAGCCACGTGTCTGCGTGCTTCCTTCAGCTGCAACAAACAGACACGGGGAAAGACTTGGTGACCTGGAGTTGTTACATCCTGAAACTTCACTGGTTTTATATTTGACCAGATGAGCCGTGTCCTCAGATGTTTGAACCTGATGGTTGTTTGTAGGACAAATACTGTGAGAGTCGACGATAAAATCAGGAAATGAGGTTTTAGAGCCTCTTTTAGACACAGGTCCTGAGGGAACAACAGTATGCACAAACAAGAGTAATGCACAAAACAGCAGTTGCTACATCCTCGTAGCGGGAGGATATATCTACTCCTAAACCAACTATTGATCTAATGATAGTCCGGCACCACTAACTGAGAGGCTGGTGCTGAAAAATGAGAAGGAGACTATTTATTTGTGTTAGCATCGGAGAGGCTAGCAACTAGCATGGATAAGCTGGCGTTAGCATCGGAGAGGCTAGCAACTAGCATGGATAAGCTGGCGTTAGCATTGGGTCGCTTCTCACCTATTTTCTCATAATTCGGAGGAAAAAAAACACTGTTGACCAATAGATAAGGACAAACACAGCTGATAATTCAGGTGTATAAAGCTGTCTTCTTCACATTAATGTTTTATGTTTAATATTTATGCTTGACGTCATGTTGAACAGTAAATTCTGTCTAAAGAACACCTGTCAGTGCATGATGCTTATAGGTCTGTATGTCAACCATGTTTGTTGAGAAAGTTTTCTTTATTCAAAAAAGTTTGTATCTAATTAAGTAGGTGAGCAGCCTATCCATGCTAGTCACTAGCCTCTCTGATGCTAACGCCAGCCTATCCATGCTAGTCACTAGCCTCTCT